AAGAGAGCTGCCAACTGGCAGCCCCGGGGACAGGACAGAGAAAATGTTGACAGAATGGCAAGATTAGCCATATCTCATTTTCAGTTTGCTCTGGAACAAAAGCCCACGTTTGAAGTTGCTTACATACACCTGGCGGGCATGTACATAGAAGTCGGCGACTACGGGAGAGCGGAAGACATGTACCAAAAAGTGCTCTGCTTGAAATCACTCAAAGAAGAAAAACTGCAAGAGATCCATTTCTACTATGGTCAGTTTCAGGAATTTCAAAAGAAGTGTGAGATCAATGCAATTATCCATTATCTGAAAGCAGTAAAAATAGAGAAGGCATCACTGTTAAGGGATAAAAGTATCAATTCTTTGGAGAAATTGGCTTTAAGGAAACTTCGTAGAAATGCATCAGATGTAGAAAGCTTGAGCATTCTCGGGTTCATCTATAAAGTCAAAGGAAAGATAAATAAGGCCCTGGAGTACTATGAGCGGGCCCTGCGGCTGGCTGGCTGCTGACTTTGGGAACGCTGAGACAGAATCCCTAGCCGTGGAAATGTGAACCTCGTTCACATTCTGTTTGACTTTTAGGTAACCCTAAACCTAAACTCTAAACTCTAGTCATTTTTTCTGCTTGCTACTTTCAGAAACATATTAAGTAATTAAGTAATCTGCTATAGTGATAGACGTTTTTAACATTTATACTCAAACCTGATAAAATATTGTTTGTAGTCAGTAGTGAAGAGTGAGAGAGATATACACACATTTCTGTATGTGAGAGTGAGAGGAACCATTTCTCTGTGAATGTTATCTAGCAGAAAAGCAATTTTTTGAGTAGATTTGTAGCAAATAAAGCAGTGGATTTACATAAAATGAAATGTTTAATTCATTCATTTTTATCAACAAATCATTTTCAGTGTTAGATACCGACTATGGTGATGTGGGGGAGGAAAAAAGTCTTTTTACTCTACCCATCTTAGGTTCACTGGCCAGGACCCCATAGTGAGACTGGTAAGGACAGATGAACAAGAGAAAAACAGATTTATCAACACATGCATCTCACATACACATGGGAGCGCCCAGCAATGAGTAACTCAAAGGGTGGTTTGAACCTGGACTTCGGGGCGCCTGGGTGGCTCAGCGGGTTCAGCCTCTGCCTTCGGCTCAGGTCATGATCTCAGGGTCCTACCATCAAGCCCTGCATTGGGCTCTCTGCTCAGCAGGGAGCCTGCTTCCCACCCACCTCTCTGCCTCTCTGCCTACTTGTGATCTCTCTGTCAAATAAATGAATAAAACCTTAAAAAAAAAAAAAAAACCTGGACTTCCAGAGCATTCAAACAAATGAACATTACATTTAGAGAAGGGATAAGAAAAAGGAAAAGAACCTTGAGTTTCTAGTGTGGCAAACTGTAGGAAGGTAAATATATGGGGGAAATTAATGGAAAATAAGAGCTAGTTAATAATGTCTGTTGTGTAGATTTCTCCAGTAGTGACTCTGCGCTGATAAAGGCCTAGAGTTGTCTCAGGCAATCAACTTCTCTCTCCGGGTGGAGGGGTAGAGAGGATAACGGGACACATTTACAAAGGTATGTACTGCTTTTAGGCAGATAGGGGATTGCAGAAAGTTTTCCTTACATCTGCTTCTTCTTAGTTGCCTTCAGTTGAAAATAATCCACATGCCAAGTGCCTCGGTGGCTTAGTCCCTTACGCATTTGCCTTTGATTCAGGTCATGGTCTCAGGGTCCTGGGATTGGACCCACATCAGGCTCCCTGCTTCCCCCTCTCCCTCTGCCTCTCCTCCTGCTCATGTGCGTGCGCATTCCCTCTCTCTCTAAAATAAATAAATAAAATCTTTAAAAATAGAAACAATAATCCATATGCCAACGGGACCTATTTTAGGATGGCATATGCTGCTGTCCTTCAGTGAAGAAAGCAGACATTTTCCCAAACCTCCTGAAGTTCACAATCCAGACAGAGAAACAATAAAACAAGTGCACAGTCAAGTCAAGGTCAAATTTCTCCATGAAGTTAATTTATTGCCAAATTGTTCCAAGCAGCTTCTCTTGTTTTATGCTTTTTGAAGCACTATTTATTCAGTCATTTTCTGGGCTTGATCAAGAAATTGGAAAAGGATACTAAATGATTTTTTTTTATTTATTTGACAGGCAGAGATCACAAGTAGGCAGAGAGGCAGGCAGAGAGAGGAAGGGAAGCAGGCTCCCCGCTGTGCAGAGAGCCCGATGCGGGGCTTGATCCCAGGACCCTGGGATCATGACCTGAGCCGAAGGCAGCGGCTTAACCCACTGAGCCACCCAGGTGCCCCAAGAAATTGGAAAAGGATACTAAATGATTTGAGAGACCATCAGTAACAATCACCTTTGAGTATGACACTTAATGAAAGCGGTTGCACACTGAGCAGTATTTTTTTTTAAGATTTTTTTTATTTATTTGACAGATAGAGATCACAAGTAGGTAGAGAGGTAGGCAGAGAGAGAGGAGGAAGCAGGCTCCCTGCTGAGCAGAGAGCCTGATGTGGGGCTTGATCCCAGGACACTGGGACCATGACCTGAGCCAAAGGCAGAGGCTTTAACCCACTGAGCCACCCAGGCGCCCCCTGAGCAGTATTTTTAAGAAAAAAAAAATAAGGAAACCACGTGATTTTTTTCATTCTTATATTTATTTTGGGGGGAGGATATATTAATTTCACACTGCGGCTGTAACAAGTAAGTAAAACTTGGTGGCTTAAAATCACAGAAATGTATTGTCTTACAGTCCTGGAGGTCAGAAATTTGAAATGGGTTTTGTTGGACTGAAATCAAAGTGTTGGCACAGCCACGCTGCCTCCTGAGGTTCTCGGGGACAAGCCCTCTTGTACCTTTTCCAACTATGACAGGCTGCCTGCATTTCTTGCTGGGGACCCTGAGCCACAAGAATATAAGTCCTCAAGGAATTCACAAACAGACTGCACAGGCCTCTGGATTTCTCCCAGAATTCTATAGGAATTGAAGGGACAGAATTTTTATCATCGAAGGGCAGGCATCAGAGTTACAGAGGTGCAATCTTCCCCACTCACTTATAACTAAAACCAGAGATTTAGAAGAGTGAAAAAATGGCATCTTATAGTGCCTATATATTTGGGGTAGGAGCCAGGTGGTGCTAAAAATGAGTTTGACCACTGCCAACTCTCCCGACTGAGAAATACTCAGTGTAAAGAACTGTTGGATAATTGGCTGACTCTTGACTAGGCAACCCTTCCCAGGTATTGCTATCCATTGTTTGCTGCCTGAAAACAGAGCTCATTCATGCAAAATAAGTATTTGGATTATGTGATCTGTTTATGTGAAGTGTGCTTGACAGTCTGCAGAGACCACAGTTATTAGAGTGTCTTATAACCGAATACCATCTCTCTAACTCCTCCCTCCTTACTCTGAAGGAGGTCTCTGCACCCTCAGGGCTCCGTAGCTCTAACACGCGGAAGAGCCTGGATGTTTGCGGAGAAAAACAACAAGCAGCAAATCCAGAAAAAGAGATGCTTTTTGGTATTGAAAACGCTATTGCCAAAATTACACATGACCATCTCCAGGCATTACCAAGAAGTCTCTAAATTGACAGCTGACTTCTAGAAGCTAGCTACACCCATGGAAATGACTGGCAGAACCTTAGCTGGTGTGCTCGTTTAGAGTTTCCAAAATTTCTCCAAGTGCCTAGGGAATATCTCTCACGTCCCCTAAATCACACCAAGCCACAGCTCCTGCCATTCACTACTGTGAAGGTGCCCCAGGCCAGATCTTTGCTACTGCTGTCTACACACTACAGCAAGCTTCAGTTCCTTGGGGACCCTCCCGGCCACCGATGTCTCCATTCTCCTGCTGCTGCTCGTGCGGGAACTGCATTGGGAATGGGGACCCCCACCCCGTAGCCTGCCTCAGCTTGAATGTCCCACCCTCAGTCTGCATCCACATCTCTGTGGCTTGTCCCCAGCCACACCAAATGTGCTAATAGCCACCACCACTCTGGAGTCCCACGTGGAAGGGAACAGGCCTTCTCTGACATTCCCTTGATGACCACGCTTTCACCCAGGCCTCTTCTTGAACTCCAGGGCCATCCCCAACGGCTCTTCATCTGTGGTGAGCTCTTCCTCTCCTACCTGAAATCCAGCTCTCTCTCTCTCAGGCTGTGTTGCGAGGATGAACTCAAATGAAGTCAAACAAACACATGAGGGTATTATTTATGGGACTGATTCTCAAGGAGGGAGGTGTGAGGGGAGAAGAGAAAGTTGCCTTGGGGGGGTGGGGGCGTTGCTTTTAGCAACTTACCATTTTGACTGTTGCAACTGCAGGGTGCTACTAGCATCTAGTGGGCACGTGGAAGGATGCTGCTTCCGTAGCTCACGATGCTGGGCAGCTTCCCACAACACAGAATTACCCAGCCCAAATGGCAGTAGCTCCAACGTTGACAAACCCTCTCCTACACCTATTTCTTAGAAAAGTTACTACTTAAGTTTGGCTTCCCAAGGAGATTTTAGATCAACTGCCATGCTTCACTTTCTATTTCCCTTTGTCACTAGCTGTTGTGTTTTACATGTTGATCAGAATGAATTCAAAAGACAGGGCACTACTGATTTTCCCAAGAACACACCCAATCCAATAGTCTGTGAAAAAAGATCTATATTCAAATTCCATCTAGTAATTTTGATATGTTCAACACACACACAACAGCCAGGCATGTTTCTTCCATATCCTGAAAATGTACCTTCCTTTGAAATTTTTACAGATGGCTTTTGTGTTTCTGAATTTGAATTCCTAAACAATATAAGTAGAAAAGCAGGATTTTTTTTTCTGTTCATGTTTACCTCTGATTACTTAGTTGCTATCCATCTAAACCGTAATAAGCAAAGACAATCTCTCGGCCCAGATACGGTTAAAAGAAAAGAAGGGAAAGAAGTAGGAATGAGCCAGAAAACAATCAACTCACTGAAAATTTTTCAAGCACAGGAGTGCTATTAAATTTTTCTACATCCTTGGTAAACAGGAAACTGTGGGTTTATTTTTCGCCCACAACAAGCTGTTCAGTACCTTTTCTAAAATGTGGCTTCCTGGGTCACCTGGGTGGCTCAGTTGGTTAAGCATCTGCTCAGGTCATGATCCCAGGATCCTGGGATCCCAAGATAGAGCCCTGTGTCAGGCTCCCTGTTAAGTGTGCAGTCTTCTTCCTCTCTCTCTCCCTGCTCCTGCTCTCTCTTTCTCACTCACTATCTCTCAAATAAATAAATAAAATCTTTACAAAAGTTAAATAAATAAATAAAACATGGCTTCCTGCTTCAGCGAAATAGGCCAATGCCAGTACCTCTCTGACCTCATTTCTTATGACTTTTCCCCTACTCTTGCCACTCCAACCACATCATCCATGGATGGCAAGTACGCTCCCACCTCCCAGGGTTTGAACTTTCTTCCCTGCCCCACAACCACAGCGCTTTGAACTTTCCCTGCCTGAACTTCCTTTTCTGGCCACATAACCACAGTGCTCACTCCTGC